GACATCAGTCATCCTAGATTAGGGCTCACGGTAATGGCCTCATTGCAGTTTCATCGTCTTCAAAATCCGTCTCCAGATACAGTCATATTATGAGGTACGGGCAGTTAGGGCTTCAAGGTGTTAATTGGAGGGGGGAGGATATAAGTCATCCCGCTTATAACACCTTTTAACAATTTCCCAAATTTGGCATAGAATCCCAGGTCGATACTACATCCTCTAAGGGTCCGTGCGATCTGGGCCACGTCTCCAACTTTATGTCCCTCTGCTCTCCCCTGTGCTCAGCGCACTCCGGTCCTCATCGCCACAACACATGCCCTGACTTCAGGCCTTTGCACTTTCTACTTCTTTGCCTGGAACATTCCTTCACCCCCAGATATCTACAAAGGCTTACTCCGCCTTTGTACTCGGTTACTTTGCCCAGATATTGCCTCCATGACAGTCTAGCTTCTTACTTTGCTTTTTTTTTTTTTTTCCTTTGGAACATTTATTACTGCCTGCCATTATCTTATGTTTATTGTTCAACTGTCTGTCTCCCCCAGCAGAATCTCAACTCCAAGAGGCAAAGGCTTCATTTATTTTGTTCCCAGAAAAATCCCCAGGGCCTAGCTACAGCAATGCTACTCACAATATTGCACCAATAAATGTTTGAAGGAAAATGAAATGAAAGAAATGAATAAATGAAAGAAATGAAATAGCATGAAATTAATTGAATAAAAAGAAATTAAAAATGAAAGCCCTATGCAAGGAAGAAAGAAAATCCTTTTTCAGGTCACCATGACCTTTGTTCTTAATTCCAATATTTGACCTAAGAGTTAACCGCTTATCTTCCAGAAGCTCAATAAGCATCCTGGAACATTTAGCAGAAAGTCTCTCCCAGGCTGTCAGCAACTGATCCCAAATGCAGGAACCTAGAAACTTGCAAAGATTTTCTCCCTACTCTCTTCTTTGTCACCTGCAACCAATCAGCCTACAACTTTGACAGTAAAGTGCAGATGGCCCCTGGCTGACCATGATTCAACACAAGATTTTTTTCTTTTTCTTTTTAATATAACTTATTGTCAAATTGGCTTACATACAATACCCAGTGCTCATCCCAACAAGTGCCCTCCTCCATGCCCATCACCCATTTTCCCTCTCTCCAACCCCACCCCCCCCCCCAACCACTCTCAGTTTGTTCTCTGTATTTAATAGTCTCTTGTGGTTTGCCTCCCTCCCTCTCTGTTTGTAACTATTTTTTTTCCCCTTCCCTTCCCTCATGGTCTGTTAAGTTTCTCAAGATCCACATATGAGTGAAAACATATGATATCTGTCCTTCTCGGACTGACTTATTTCACTCAGCATAATACTTCCAGCTCCATCCACATTGCTGCAAATGGCCAGATTTCATTCTTTCTCATTGCCAAGTAGTATTCCATTGTGTATACAAACCACAGCTTCTTTATCCATTCATCAGTTGATGGACATTTAGGCTCTTTCCATAATTTGGCTATTGTTGAAAGTGCTGCTATAAACATTGGGGAACAAGTGCCCCTATGTATCAGCACTCCTGTATCCCAACACAAGATTTTTCAAACTGATGATGGTGTGAAAGTGATATGCATTTGGTAGAAACTGTACTTTGAATTCCGATCTTTTCCCTGGCTAGTAGTAAGTGTATGGTCCTCTCTGGGGCCGATGGGCAGGGCAGCCACCACTCCCAGTCAGCCCCGCGATCGCGAGGGTCAGCAATGATATGCTGACAACCAACTGTGGGCTAATGTAAGTGTTCTGAGCACATCTAAGGTGGGCTGGGCTAAGCTAGGATGTTTGGTAGGTAAGGTGAATTATGTGCATTGTTGACTTATGATATTTTCAACTCACAATGGGTGTATTGGGACTAACCCCATTGTTAAGTCAAGCAAGATCTGTAATTGAGAAGCTGATATGCAAATGGATCCTTTTCCAAAAAAAATATTTTTAATGTTTATTTATTTTTGAGAGAGAGAGAGAGCAGGGAGGGGCAGAGAGAGAGAGGGAGACAGAGAATCCTAAGCAGGCTCCAGGCTCTGGGCCGTCAGCACAGAACCTGACATGGGGCTCAAACTCACAAACTTAAAGATCATGACCTGAGCCGAAGTTGGATGCTTAACCGAGCCACCCAGGCGCCCCTGCAAATGGATCCTTTTATTGTGGGTAAAGACATTCAGATCATTTGAAGACAGAAAAATGGGGGAGATAATGTACAGAAAAGCCCTGTACTCTTTAAAAGGAGGGCCCAGTGTAGTTCGCTGCAATTCTGACTTGACCCATTTCTCTAGCTCTGGTGGCAGCTTCTGGAATTGCAGGCAAGGACGAGGAACTGGGAAGTAAAGAGAACCAACTGTTGTTTGTTTTTTTAAGCTTTTAATTTTCATTTCAGTGCAGTTAACCTACAGTGTTATACCAATTTCAGGTGTCCAATATAATGATTCAACAAGTCTATATATTGCACAGTGTTCATCATGATAAGTGCATTCTTAATTCCCTTCACCTATTTCACCCATTCCCCCCTCCCCCCCCCCCACCTTCCCTCTGGTATAAAGAAATAAAACAAAGGAACAAAGGAAAAAGGAGAGAGAGAGAGAGAGAGAGAGAGAGAGAGAGAGAGAGATGAACCAACTTTTTTTTTATTCAATGACTATTTTAATGGATGCAAGATATAGCTGCCTCCGCTTTGGGAAATCAAACCCTCATCTCCAGCAGAACAATATCTAGAGGCACCTTCTTTCTTCTGGCCCTGGAGATGCATTTGATGGAGAGCATCTCTTTGAAACCTCACAACAAACATCCAGGAAAGATGTCTCTTCTCTTGTTGACCAGGACACTAAGGTCCACAGATATGAAGTACTGACTGAAGTAAAAGGGGGCAGGATTTGAACCTAGGTCAGGTTGATTCTAAACCCTGCGATCTTCCCAATAGGGACCAAAGAGGATAAACCTTGCACGTTCAACCCATTTCACCCCACATTGATTTTCCCAAGCCTCTGGACTTTGAACTTCCCTGCCAGTTAGAGTCTCATTAATCCAACCATCTTTATTGATTGTCTCCTAGGTGCCAGGAGCTGTGCTTTGCCCAGTGGCTTCCAGCGAATGATGAGTGAACAATGATCATGATATAATTTAAGTGGAGAGAAAGCAACTCCTACGGGGTGTCAGAGCTCTTTCTCAAATTGAGTTACTTTTTCGCTATTGAATAAATTGTAATTTGAAAAGCTGGTAAAGTGCCTTCTTTTGGTGAGCCAAGCCAATCAATATGTGCCATTTAAAATTCTCCTTTCTGTGTCTCTCCTTTTCAGACGGACTGGAGAAAATGGAAGCATTTGAGACCTGAGATGACTGGGCTGAATTTCTTAATGGCGTGATTTTTTCTTTTTCTTTTTTTTTTTTTTTGGAAGTGATTTGTGTCTGAAGAATAGGCTGTCCAGGGCAAGCTAAGTGGATGGCTTTCCTGGAGAGAGGGGGAGACAGGACTTGCTCGTGCCTGACCGCTGCTTATGGGGGGGAGGGGGCACAGCCCCTGCAAGAATCTGCTTGGAGACCCATCCCATACAGCCATCATAGGTATTGATCAACCACAGAAGCAGATTTCTAGAATAGTAGGTACCTATATAGGACATACATATCCACATGCAAAACTTGGACTCTCTCTCTGGCTCCAAAATCTTAAAGGGTGTTATTTCTAACCTGGTGGGAATATGAGTGACTTTTTTTTCCCCTTCCTGCTCCTCTGGAATGCCACATTTTCCCTCGGTAGACTTATGTCACTTACAGTCAGTAGGTGTCATTCACTCTGTCTCCACATTCCCTCCAGCTTCTCTGTCCCCTGTCGTTCCCTTCTCAAGGTGACAACGTAAAATAAAAACAAAAATAAAAAAGTCTCTCTCTCGCATCTACTTTCCCCCTAACAGGGGTGAGAAAGCCTCTCTCTGTGGCCTATCCCCTTCCCTCACTTCGGCCCCACTTCACTTCCTTCCCTCACTTCGGCCCCCTTCACAGCCTTCCTAAGAATGCTGGGGGGGGGTCCGGAGCATGAAAGGAATGTCCCCTAGCTTCACCCTGTGCCTGCCAATCAGATTCCCCTAAGATGTTTCCCTTGGGAAGGAACTGCCCGCAGGCCCAAGGAGGACACAATGGCAGGAACCCGATGGCACCTGATAGCAAGGCCCAAATTCCTGTTCCTGAACTCCAGAGGCACAGGGGGCCTGAGTCAGGCAGCCAGGACCAGGGACCCAGAGGCTGACCTTTGAAGCACAGAGATTCGGGGACTCGCCAGTTTCTTCATTTGTCAAATGGAGAGAATCATGCCTTCCTTCTTCCCGACAGGTGCGTCATGAGGCTCACGTGACATAAGGGCCGCGGAGGTGTTCCAAAAGGTCGCAAGTGCTACAGGGTGATTCACCGTCCCCGTTTCTCTCCGGTCTGTCTTCCGCCGCGCCTGCCCTAACCTGGGCCTTCACCGTCCGGCCCTGTGACTGTGCTCTGGTCTCCAGTCTGCACGCCGTCCACGCCTCAGTCCCAGCTGTGCCCTGACCTCCTCCCAAAACCCACCCCAGCTAAGTGCATCCCGCTCCGACACCTCCCGCCAGGGAAGCCGGTCAGGAGGATGGGCTGCCTTCCCGAAATCACAAAGCAGCAAAAGGGAGATTATGCAGCTGGGCCTCATTTAGACGCGCGCCTTGGGGCAGAGCGTTTTCTCCAGCCGCTGGCAGAAGAGAACCGCAAGCCACAGGAACCGCATGCAGCCAGCAACCTGACGGAGCTTGGACGCTGATTTGTCCCCAGAGCCTCCGGAGGAGAGCCCTGCCTGGCCCAAACCGTGAGTTGGGCCTTGCGAGGCCCTGAACAGAAACCCCAGGTGACCCTACTTGAATCCCCGACCCACGGCGCTGTAATAAATGGGTATCATTTCAATCTGCTAAATGTTTAGTAATTCGGTATGCAAGGTCTCGGGTGAGGCTGCTTTAACAAAATACCACCGCATGGGTGGCTTAAACAACAGGAATTTATTTCCCATGGTTTTGAAAGGTGGGGAGTCCAAGATCAGGGTGCCAGCATGGTCACATCCTGGTGATGACCGCCCCCCCTCCTGGTTTACAGATGGCCACCTTCTTGCTGTGACCTTCTTGCTGTGGAGAGAGAGATCGTCTCTCTGGCATCTCTTTTTATGGGGCGCTGGTCCCATTCGTGAGGGCTCCCAAAGGCCTCATCACCAAATGCCATCACACGCGGGACTGGGTTTCAACCTATGAGCTGTGGATACACAGATACAAACATTCAGTCTGTTACGTGCAGCAATAGAAAATTAATACATTTGCTCTGTCAAGGCCTTAAGGGTTCTTCTCCAATCTCCATGTCACACATGAGCTCTGAGTGATTGTGGGGTTTGAATCTGGACCCAATCAACTTGCTGCCGAGTTACGTGGCATTCAGTTCCTCCTCCATTTCCTCGTCTGTGTACTTAGGATAATTACGGAACTTCCTCATGAGGTTTTTGGGAAGATTAAGTGAGTTAACCCAGCCGAGTACTTATTACAATATCCAACAAAAAGGAAATGCTGCATACATTATTTTTTTCCTTTGTACTGTGATTACATTCTTTGCAGACATTCCCTTTAAGTCAAATGGGTTTATTTATTAACCTGGGGAAAATACACTTTTCTTGGCTTTCACCATATCTCCTTCTCTTACTCTACCCCTCAATACCCATCCTTCCAGGTCTTTCTCTGATTCCTCCCTCCTCCATGAAGCCTACCCTGACCGTTCCAGCTCATGGTAGTCTGTCCTCTGTACTAACTTCTAGAGTACCAGAGGCTAGTGCAAATCCTTAGACTGTCTCTTACCTAATCACTTTAAATGATTTTTTTACTATAATAGAAAAGTGTCTGTCTGTTGGAGATAAGAGGGGAAATCTACAAAAGTTCAAGGCAAGAAGTAAGTCACCTGCTGCCATGGTTAATAATATTTCCTTCCCGTCTTCCTGTTTTTGTTGATTGTGTATATATAAACACATATGTATACAGTTACTTTGTGAGAATAAATCTCTGCCCCAGCCCACCCAGGGCATCCATCTGCCGGGGGAGAGATTAGGATTTGTTCACAGAAGGAATTCAGAGAGGAAAAATACAATATGGCATTCAACTTTAATCATGCAAAATAGGATCATGCTGGAAACCAGGGCATTTAAGAGCTGTTTTAGCCAAGGTTCCTGCATTAGTCTCATATGGCTGATATAACAAATTACCACACATTTAGTGGCTTAAAACAACACAGATTTATTCTCCGACAGTTCCAGATGTCAGAAGTGTGAAATGAGTCTTATGGGGCACAAAGTGGTGTTAGGGTCCCTTCTGGAGACTCCAGGGGAGGCCGATCCTTTCCTCTACTAGCTTCTAGACTAGCCCGCATTCCTTGGCTCATGGCTACATCTCTCTAATCTCTGCTTCCAACCTGACATCCCCTTCTCCTGACTTTGACCCTCCTGCCTCCCTCTCTTAGGGATCCCTGTGATCACATTGGGCTCACCTGGATAATCCAGGATAATTTCCCCATCTTAACACATTTAACTCAATCGTATTTGCAAATCCATTTTACTATATAAGGTAACACAGTCATAGGTTCCGGGGATTAGAACATAGACCTCTTTTGGGGCCACTATTCTGTTTACCACTTTATCCTAGAGAATGGAGCCTGCAGCAGGGATTAGGTGCTGCCAGTCTTATTGTGCTGTATAAACCTAGGGCAGTAAGAGTGAGGAAAAAGGGGAGGAAAGGAGCAGATTGCAAAGCAATGCAAGGCGGTGATTACTGAGCCGACCGTGTCTCAGGATGAGCTGAGAAAAGCAGGTTGTCAACAAGAGAATTGTTCAGCCACGTGGAAGTCTCCAGGCACGTTATATGGAGAAACTGTCTCTGGGAGCAGTCCGTTCAGAAGAGGGATGAGGCAGAATGTATCTGCCAGTTTCCTCCCCTTCCCGTATTTCCCATCGATCAAAGTCTGCCCCATGTGGCGTTAATCTCAGCACATTTCTGAGTGGCATCATTTGGGTCCCTTTGAGAATTATTTGGAAAGCCAGATCCTATACCCTTTGCTGTGATGCTGTATCTGAGTCTGGAAGTGATGGGAGGAACCAGAGACACTGGTTATGCGTTTTATCACTCTCAGGAGGAACTTACAGGGAGGCATGATGACCAAGAGAGAGCACTCAGCTTGGGGCCCAAGTTGCAGGTGAAGCCAGCAGACTCTGATAAAGCAGGTGAAGTCAGGAGGGTCTGAGGAAGTACCGAAGGCGTATCCAGCACATTCCAGCCCTGAAATCCCCTCAGGTCCGTCATCCGTTCCCGTTACATACTCTTCCATAATATATGAGGCGTGGAGTTGTTTTCTGAGAACCAGATGCCCTCATTCCTCCCTGAGAGGGCAGGTAAAAATGTAGCCACAGAATGCCTTCATGGTCAAGCCTAAATTTCCAGCAAAACCAGAAAGCGAGATTAAGAGAACAAGTGACATTCTCCACTGTGCTTGTCCCAAGGCCATAGTGACACCCCTCACTTCCACCCGCTCTCACACTCCGCCGGAGCCTCTCCTTGCCTACGCTTCTGGAGCTTGGTATGCCACATCTGGTTAAATGGGAGAAGGTGATTGGAGATCAGAATTTATGATCTTCTCTCCAGGGAGCCTTCCCTGGTGTGGCAGCTCCAATCTGGAAATTGGCTCTGTGATGTGTCAGAAAATAAGTTAGGACATCCCTTGCGCGTCACTGTGTAGGGTGAGGCGGCAAGAGGTACGGGCCTTCGCATCAGGTGCTACCTTTTCAGTTCAATTGTTAACAACAGTTTCAATCATGCTTCCCTGTTGCTTAACGGCACAGGACCCAAACAGCTCTGCAACCACGAATTATCAGCAGGTACGCAGGGGCCCCCGTGAGGAGCCGTGGGTGTTTCGGGGGGAGCCTAAGGCTGGGCAGCTGAGAGGGGAGCAGTTATTAAAATAAAATTAATTTAGCCATAGGTACCATTTACTGAGCACCTGTGTGCCAGGAGCCATACGAGGCCTTCCTCCCAAATAATTGATAGGAAAAACCGCATCGAAGTAACCACAGGATCTAAGAGAAAAATTGCCTGCACTCCAGTCACCTAATTAAATCAATATTTTTATTTTTGCCCCCACACATATATAGTGCTTCTTTTTCATTACCACGTCATAGACACCACTTAGGATATTAATTTCCACAATTTCGCTTTAATTTTGATCATAAATAATATTTCTACTACTATTTATTTCTATTACTAGAAATAAATATTTCTATTTCTACGGTTTATCTCTTTCTCCTGACTTTCTCCCCCCGCCCCTGACATTGTAACCAGGATTAACGGCCTGAAAATATCTCCTACATCTTTCTCCGTGTTCTTTTAGAATAGCCATAGTGAGGGGCGCCTGGGTGGCTCAGTCGGTTGAGTGTCCGACTTCGGCTCAGGCCATGATCTCGCAGTTCGTGAGTTCGAGCTCCACGTTGGGCTCTGTGCTGACAGCTCAGAACCTGCTTCCGATTCTGTGTCTCCCTCTTCTCTCTGCCCCTCCCCCCAGCTCAAACATAAATAAACATTACAAAAATAGTAAAGTGAAATAGCCACAGTGATAATAACAGCAAAGATCCACCGAATGCTTATTACCAGGGAGGTACTGTTTTTACCGTGTTTTGCTGTGCACCTGCTGCAGCTCCTATGACCCTCCCTGTCGCTGTATGACGGAAGCCCCAGTGTCCTCCTCCGTTAACACATGAAGAAACCGAGGCCCAACATATGCAAAATATTCAAAACTATGAACACACACATAGACATAAACCAAGGAAGTCTTCTTGCTTATTGAAAGAAGATCCAGAGAAAAAGTGGAGCATACGGTGTCTCACTGCAGTGGCTTATCAAAGACCGTATATCACTGTCGCCTCTCCAGGTCAATAGATCCAGCTCTAACTCATTTTTTAGGAGCAACACAATGCCACATTGTATGAATGTACCATCATTTATTGGCCCTTTTGATAGGCACTTTTTTTTTTTCTTTTTTTTTTTTTTTTTTTTTTTTTGGCCACTACAAACAGTGCAGCCATAAATAACCCAGAATATAAATCCTTATGGACTAGTGTTTTTATTTCTCTAGGATAGAGTCTATGGACATTAGTGCCAGATCTGGACTCCTCCATATGAAATGACAGGCACAGCCATGAGCTGACCCAAAGCATCAGACTCTCGAAATAGCATGATCTCCACCGAGGTCAGGGAGAGCAGATATACCATTTATGCGGCCAAAGGGATAATAGCCAAAGAGGACACACAGCCTAGGAGGCCCTGAGCTGGCCCAAGAGGGGGCCAGTCAGGGCCCAGGCTCCCCATGTGCCCCAGGCAAGTCACAACTTCCTGAGCATGCGCACAGAGCTCGAGCAGTCATCCTGTCCCGAGTACCAGGCCTCCACCTGCTAGTCACAAAGGGCTCATTCCAAAGAAAGAAAGGAGAAAAAAAAACAG